GGAAACAGTTTCATCATCAAACAGAAAAGAGCTCCTTTCGTTCAGTCGTGAAAGATGGTTTGGTTTGTGTATTCATCCCGGGGCCAATCACTAACCAGGTTGTTGCTGTCTAGTGAATTCCAACTCCTGGCAACCCTGTGTGTATGAGAGCAGAAATGCACTGCACAGGATGTTCAAGGCTGGTGCCTTTCAGCAGGTCTTTCTTCTGAGGTGCTTCTGGTGGGTGGGTTCAAACTGCCAACCTTTAGTTTACTAGTGGGGCACTTTAACTGTATGTGCCATCCAAAATTATAGAGATAGTAAAAAGATAGGTGGTTGCCAGAGTTTGGGGGCCCGCAAGAGAGGTAGTATAATGTAAAAAAACATCATGCAGAAGAAGCAAGGAAAAGGCATTGGGTTCGCTATAATTAGGGTGACTTCTACTAACAGGAAAGTGACAGGCAGGAAGGGAAGTTGAACAAAGACAATTCACATCCATTACATAAAAACAGACAAAAAATATAGGCATATATATGCTATTGTACAGCAGTGTTATTCACTAAAATGCTTTATTGTTGTTGTTAAGTGCCGTTGAGTCAGTTCCAACTTATAACAACCCTCTATAGGGTTTTTGAAGAGTGGCTGTTGAGTTTGAACAGCAGGCATCATGGTTCAAACCAATTTTGTAGTCCAGTGCTTATTCTACAGTGTTTTATAGCTTTCGTTTTTTCCGTGTATTGAACATTTCACATTTCAAAATGCTTTCTTCATTATCGTCTCAAATATGCTAAGTAAAGAAAATGAATTGCTGTTGTTGTCGTTAAGTGCCGCTGAGTCAGTTCTGACTCATAGAGACTGTATAGGGTTAGTGGATTTGAACTGCTGGCCTCAGGGTTAACAGTCCAGTGCTGATCTTACAGCACTGATATCTGATATTTGAATATTCTTTAGGTACCAGACTTCTAGATTCTTACTCTTCATACTACAGAGCATGAAGAAGAAAACTCCAGATCAACTACAATGTTTTGCTGACCATGGACTCAGATTAACAATCTAGACTGCTGTTGTTAAGAGCTGTTGAATCATTCTTACTAGAATGGTGGTGTTACTATTTTCCAAGGAGCAGCTGGTGGGTTTGAGTCACTGACCTTGTGGTTAGCAGTCCAGTGCTGATCCTACAGTGCCACACCAGGAGTCTACAACAATCTAATACAATGACTACTGTATCATCTGCTTGGAGTTCTGGGGTGGCACTGTGGGTTCATGTGCTGGACTGCAAGGTCGCTTCGAATTGCAAGATTGGTTTGAATTGCAAGGTTGCAATTCAAGCTCACAAGCCACTCCTTGGAAACCCTATACGGGGTCGCTAAGAGTCGGAGCCGACTCAACAGCACTAACAGCAACTACTACAATATCATCTACTTAAAAAAAAGAGAGAGAAAGAGAAAAAGATTATTTTTAAAAAATCCTTGAAATCTGTAAACTTTGACAAGTCAGATATTAAGGTTTCTCTGGAATAATTTTTTTTTTTTTTTTTTTTAAGATATGGAGAAAACAAAAAAAGAGCTAAAAGTTCTTTGTCTTGATATCTCCAAGTAGTTCACTAGATGGTGCTATAAGGTGGTTAGAAAGGTTTCCCCAAGGAAAAACATATGGAAACTGGAGGAATTTGAAACTATTACCCTTTAGGTCTGGAACTAAACTCAGTTTAGTGTTGTTGTTAAATGACATCCAGTCAGATCAGACTCATAGGGACCTGTATAGGGTTTATAAGGAGTGATTGGTGGGTTTGAACCACCGACCTTGCTGCTCAAACTGACCTTGCAGTCTGGGGCACTCTCCTGAAGTATATAGGGGGACAACAAACCTAGTAAGGTAGGCTCACCATGGAATGGACAACCATTCAGGATCAAAAGGGCAACATTTACCTAAGGACAGAGTTCAGAAGGGTTGGGAAGGAGGATGGAATGGAAATAGGAACCACAGGGAAGATATGGGATAACTGATAGTACACGGAGGAGGAGATTGTAATCATTCAAATTAAACAAAGTGTAAGGTCTGTTGAATGTGAAACTGATGATCTGCTCTGTAAACCTTCACTCAGTTCACACACAAAAAATGTTTAAAAAAAGAAAAATGATTGTAGTAGTTCTGCTAAGGACCAAAGGCCAGACATCAAGAGTAGGATGACATCAAGGATATCACATATGAAGACTGAAAGAAAGAAAAAATCAAAATGGATGTCACATGAGACTGAAAATTGCTACCAGGAATGGAAGAAATGATGAAGTTAAATAGCTGAACAGAAAATTTCAAAGGGCAGCTCAAGAAGACAAAATATTATAATGCAATATGAAAAGACCTGAGTTTAGAAAACCTAAAGGGAAGAAGATGCTCAACATTTTCAAACAGAAAGAACTGAAGAAAAAATTCAAGCTTCAAGTTATATTAAAGGATGCCATGGGTAAAACATTGAATGACACAGGAAACATCCAAAGAAGGTGGAACACAGAGTCATGATACCAAAAATAATTGGCTTATATTTAACCATTCATATGACCATGAACTGATAGTGTTGAAGAAGTTCAAGCTGCACTGAAGGCATTGATGAATAACAGGGCTCCATGAACTGATGAAATACCAACTGAGATGTTTCAATAAACAATTGTAACATTGAAAATTCTCAGTTGTCTGTGCCAACAAATTTGGAAGATAACTACCTTACAAACTGGAAGAGACCCATTCCAAAGAAAGATTATCCAATAGAATGCAGAAATTATTGAACAATATCATCACACGCATGTAAAATTTTGCTGAAGGTAATTTAAAAATGGCTACATTAGCACATTTACAAGGGACTTACAGAAATTCAAGTTGGATTCAGAAGAAGATGTAGAACAAGAGATACCATTGCTGATGTCAGATGGATCTTGACTGAAAGTAGCGAATACCTGAAAGATGTTGACCTGGGTTTTATTGACTAGACAAAGGCATTTGACTGAGTGGATCACAGCAAACTATGGATAACATTGTGAAGAATGGGTTTTCTAGAACACTTAATTGTGCTCATGAGGAACCTGTACATTGATCAAAAGGTTGTTTTAATAGGACAAGGAATATTGTGTGGTTTAAAATCAGGAAAAGTGTACATCAGGGTTGTACCCTTGGACAATACTTATTCAATCTGTATACAGAGCAAATAATCTGAGCAACTGGAACATATGAAGAAGAATGTGGCATCAGGATTGGAGGTAGACTCGTTAAAAACCTGTGGTTTACAGATGCTTGCTGAAAGCTAAGAGGACTTGAAGTCCTTACTGATAAAGATAAAAGACTTTAGTATAGCTCACACCTTAACATAAAGAGAATGAAAATCCTCACAAGACCATTCATCAACATCATGATAATGAATGAGGAAAGATTGAAGTTGTTAAGATTTCATTTTACTTGGACCCACAATCAATGCCCATGTACAGTTTGCTCTGTGGTGGCTTGTGTGTTGTTGTGATGCTGGAAGCTATGCCACCAGTATTTTAAACACTAGAAGGGTTACCCAGCGTGGGTAGGTTTTAGCTGAGCTTCCAGACTAAGACATACTAGGAAGAAGGAGAGGTGAACTACTTTTGAATGTTTAGCCACTGAAAACCTTATGAATAGCAGCAAAACATTGTCAGATATAGTACCAGAAGATTAAAACATTATGAACAGTACCAGAATATTGTCAGATATAGTGCCAGAAGATGAGCCCCTCAGGTTGGAAGGCACTCAGAATACAAGTGGGGGAAGAGCTACCTTCTCAAAGTTGTGTTGACAGTGATGATACTCTTCTCAAAGCAGACTCCAAGGAGATATATTGGCACGGTGGCAGCAGCAATGGGCGGGCTTAAGCATTACAACAATTGTGAGGATGCTGCAGAACTGGGCAACAATAACATTGCACTGGGCAAATCTGCTGCAAAAGATCTCATAAAAGTCTTTTTTAAAAAGTACTGAAAACCACAGATGGCGTCTGACCCTAGCCAAAGTATTTTCAATCTACTCTTATGCAGCTGGTCACCGAATAAGGAGGACTAAAGAAGAATTGATGCCATTGAATTTTGGTGTTGGTGAAGAATACTGAAAATACCATGGACTTCCAGAAGAAAGAACAAATCTGTCTTAGAAGATGTAGAACAGCTCCTTAGACGTGAGGATAGTGAGACGTCATCTCACATACTTTGGGCAGGTTACTAGGATGGACCAGTCCCTAGAGAAGGGCATCATGCTTGGTAAAGTGGAGGATTAGAGAATAAGAAGAAGATCCTTAATGAGATGGATTGACACAGTGACTGAAGCAACGGACTCAAGCAACAGTTATGAGGATGGAGCCAGCTGCAACAGTGTTTTATTCTGTTGTAGATAGCGTTGCTATGAGTTGCAACCAACTCTAAGGCAACAGACCGAAACAACAAGTTCTGTAGGGAGTTAAGTGTTCTGGAAACTGTCTACACATTTCCAGCCTCTGAAATCAACTGCAGACTTGTAGACAAGTATCAGGAATCTTAACATCGACAAGCTTTAGCTCTATGGTAAGATGGATTTTAACCTAAACCTCTCTACCTCACTTCACTGGCTCAACATATTTTAAAAGGGTCTCATTGTTTGACAATTCAATTGGGTTACACTGAAATGGAATTGTAAAAAGTTCTTAAAATGCAAAATTATTCATTTAAATATATTGGCATTAGTTGTTCTTTTTTTTTTTACCTAGTTTTCCCATAATCATGCCTAATATTAATTACATTTTCAAATGGCTTCCTGAGTTTTTGAATTAGCACCAAATTCATGACATTTAAAGTACTATAATATGGTAGCTCAAATACGTTAATAATACATTTAAAATTACTTTCAATAAAGTACTTCTTATAAAAATATCATTTCATGATTTGTCTACATTATAAAAAACAAGAAAAATGTTTCTAATAAAGTGCAAAATAAAATACAGCTTTAAATTTCATACTGTTTTCTTTTAAATGTTGGTTTTAAAATCTCAAGGTTACAGGACGTGTACTCTTTTTCCGTTCCAATTCTACTTCTAGAATTTCTCCCCAGGTATCGGCATCCATTGGGTGCATAGTTTTCTCTGGAAGGCTAATGGGAGAACATATGTTGCTATACCTGCCACTTAGCCATTCACGTTTCACTTTACTCTTCTGGTAATTCCTCAGCAGTGTTACCTGAAAGAGGCAAACCATGATCATTAAAACAGAATACAGTAGATGGTTAATGAGTTTGTTTGAAATAAACAAGATGGTTGATAGTGCTGAAAAGAAGATGAAGTATTTGCATTGAAATACATATTACACCCACTCCTCAGTTATTAAGACCAGGTTGTTATGACCTACCCTGATGGCTCAATAATCATGCTACAATTTGATGAACCTGACCTATACTCAGAGAGGTAGTTACTCTAAATACCAACAGAGAGGGTAGGAGTCTTCACATCAAGTATCAATGCTATCCCCTCTAAACACAGGGTAGATAGGGACAGGCAACTTAGACATTGGCTACCTGAAATGAGGGGGCGATAAAGGCATGAAGTATCTGGCTTACAAGGTTTCAAGAGGGAGTTTAGTTTAAGAGTATGGGGGGGAAAGAAAGCATCCCTACTGAATAGATTTCATCTTCTCTAGATGGGTCTGCTGAAAAGTGATGGGGATAAGATTCATAAGATTCAATAGTTAAAATTTGTTATCATGACTAATTGCAACTGTCACAGTTGTAAAGGTAGAAGTTTTGTAACAAAAACAGGGGAGTGGTTAATCTTACAGTCCAGAAACAGAGGAACCTAGGACCATCAAGGGAGAAGCACACAAGCAGAATGCAGGACCTTATCCAGAGAAGCAGCAACGCCAGAGATGGAGGCAGAGATGGGGGAGCGGCTGAGGACTCTAGATTTATGGGAAACAGGGACTAAGAGTTGGTGGCCAGGAGTCAGACTTCCAGAATATGCCCTTTTGAGATGTAAATTATTATATATGCCTTAGTGTTTGTTTGTTTTTAAAGCTAAACTGGCTAGAGAGAAATACTGTTAACTGATGGTACATGGAGGGGTCAAAAAAAAAAAAGTTGCTAGGGGGTAAAAAATCAACGTTTTTCTTTAAGCCTTTGTAGTGTATGGGACCTTAGCTGGAATCCTGAGCCCATCCTGAGCCCATACCTTCCAAGTTGTTATGTTTACATTTGAAAAGACATGTAGAACAACGCAGAACTGCTGAGAGAACAGGAGATTCATGATTAAAAGAAAACAGAAAAAAAGTGGACAGTTGGACTTTTTGAGTTTCAGAGGCATCAAAACAAGGACAGTTGGTCCATCAGAGAAAATCCTCTCCTAGGACGGAAAGTTAAAGGGAACCAGCGAGCCAATGCTCCATGATGACCAGCTGGGTCTAGTTGTGAGCGGAATTGAGGGAAATTCAGCAATGACTACATCTGTGGAAAGAGAAGATGGAAAAGCTCCATATCATCAGTGAAGACAAGACCAGGGGCAGACTGTGGAACAGACCATCAATTACTGATATGCAAATTCAAATTAAAGCTGAAGAAAATGAAAACAAATCTACGAGAGCCAAAATATGAT